TTTTTTAGACTGTTCTCTCTCTTCACGCGATCGAATCTCTCTGAAATCTTGAGAAAAGACTCGTTTTTTTTTACTCGAAGTTTCAGATTATTCTCGAATTTTGTTTATTTCTTTTGATTGCATGCGACCACATTGGATGAGTTTTGTTCTTCGCTATATACATTTGATTGAATGCAGTTGCTTATTTGTTCGTTTCTACAGTTTTGATTTAGTGTTTCTTTATACAATTGGGATGAAGAATCGAAAATTGTTTGTATTCATCATGTTCCATTGTATTTAAGAGAGTTTATGTTTTGAGATTTCTTAACGAATTTTGAGGATTAGGGTTTATGAGGGAATGATATGTGTCTGTTGTAGATATCGTTTCATCCCACACCATTGGCTGTTCAAGATCCATCAACAATGATGGTTTTGGATCCAAAACAAACACCTTCACCAGTTTCAAGAGATGGAACACAGAATGGAGGAGGGATTTCTCACGCCGAGTTTGCTCTGTTCAATTCCCAGAGGCTTCAATCTGATCTTGAAGCCATGGGTAACAAAATCAAACAGCACGAGGACAATCTGAAGTTTCTCAAGTCTCAGAAAAACAAGCTGGATGAATCGATCGTTGATTTGCAAGGTATGAGATTTTGTCCTGCATATAACCACATTTTGCAATGGGTTGAGATTTTCATGTGTATTACAATGTATATTGTTTTGCAGTTCTTATGAGCAAACTTCATTCGGCCGCCACTCCTAGAAGCGAAAACCATGATACCAATCTCCAGGGTGCAGATATCAATGAACAGATCCTACGGCATGAAACATCAGCTGCTGGAGTTTTAGGTCTGGTTGAATCTCGTCATGGCGCGCAGGCTTCTCAGTTGACTATGACAAAAGGTGTTGTTGGCATTGTAGCAAAACTCGGGAAGGTCAATGATGAAAAGCTTAGCCAGTAAGTTCCATTTGCTCACTTTCCTTTCTTCAGATTACCTTATAATTTCGAAATGTCCCAATTTCGGATAAAACCTTTCTTGGGATGGTTTTTTTGTAATCTGAAACTGACTTAGTTTCTCTCGTGGTACTTCGAAAATGCAGGGTTTTATCGGATTATTTAGGGACTCGTTCAATGCTGGCAGTTGTATGCAAGAATTATGATAGTGTTAAGGCTTTAGAGATTTATGAAAATCATGGCAGCATAGATAGAAATGCTGGCATTCATGGGCTTGGCTCTTCGATTGGCAGAACGATTGAAGGCCATTTTGATGTCATCTGCCTTGAAAATCTGAGGTACTAATGTCTGTTTAAATGTTTTATGAATTACAAATTCTGCTAGATACGTTCATCTTTAATCCTTTCTAATAACTTGATTTGGTGTCTTTTAGACCATATGTTGGTCAGCACATTGCTGATGATCCACAAAGAAGGCTTGATCTTCTGAAACCTAAATTGCCTAATGGTGAGTGTCCTCCCGGATTCCTCGGATTTGCTGTGAACATGGTACAAATCGATCCAGCTTACTTGCTATGTGTCACACTATATGGATACGGTCTTCGTGAGACCTTGTTCTACAGTCTTTTCTCCCGCCTTCAAGTTTACAAAACAAGGACCGAGATGATTAGTGCCCTCCCATGCATAAGTGATGGTGCTATATCCTTGGATGGAGGAATCATCAGGACAGCGGGGATCTTCACTCTTGGAAACCGGTAAGATTCTCATAACTTTATAACCCGAAAACTTATTTCCCTCTTGGAGTTTTCTTCCTGTTTTTTTCTGCTGTTCTGAAACCAATGCAATTTGCAGTGATGAGGTGAATGTGAGATTCGCAAAGCCATCTGCTTCACGTGCGATGGACAACTATAATGAAACAGAGAAGCAAATGAAAGAGCTGAAATGGAAGAAAGAGAAGACGCTGGAGGACATGAAGCGAGAGCAAGTGCTGCGTGACCATGCCGTGTTCAACTTTGGCAAGAAGAAAGAAGAGTTTGTTCGATTCTTGGCTCAGAGCTCATCCACTAATCAGGTAGTAAAACGCTTCTGACTTTTTTCATCATAGTGTGTAGATGAATCAACCAAAGTATACGTATTTAATATGTTCATTGAAGCATATTAAATCTTCCATATGATCATGTCTTTGTTTTGGTTTCAATTCAAAGCCCCTCTGTTTTGGTTTCAATTGAAGCAAAGGTTTTATGGTTTAACATTTCCTGATTATGTGTTGTATGCTCCAGCAAATGATATTACCCCCCAGATGAATAAGAGAGCAAGCAATGAAGCATGGAGCTCTGAATAACAGTGACCTTTGCTTTAAAAGGAATTCTCTTTTGACTTGAAGAACTTTTTCCCAGCTTAGCTTTTCATAAATTTCGTCCATGGAAAACATCTATCATATGATAGAGTTGGATGAATTTCCTGGTAGGGCAGTAGAGCTTGTTTTAGATCGGTTAGCTTCGGTTACGCATCTCGACTCTAGTTTTCTTTCTGTTAAGTGTTAATAACACTTGACCGTGTACATATGATGGATATTTGTTATCTAACATCTTCTAGCCTTTCTAGTCTTATGTTTCCATCTCTGGTTCCAAAACATCTGGCTCACTATTCATTCAAAACATTGTCAGAAATGATTACAAATTTTCTAGTATTTGGTACATATATACATGCACCAGATTATGATAATGAACACTATACACAAGACCGACCATCACGTAAAACAAAATGATCAATCTCGCTAGAGGCCATGTTTAACTGAAACCAGAAGCAAACTTGAATAAAGATTTTGCCAAAACCTTCATTATACCAAAAGATCGATCAAAGCTTATTGAAGCAACGAAATCCCTAATTACATAAAAGCTAAACAATAGGAATATAAATAAAAACTCTAATAAACTCAAGCAAATGACGATTAGCAGCACGGCGGATTCTGAACGTTGGATCCACCTGCTTCTTCTCCTTCAGCCACCTCCACTACGTCGACTTCTTCAACAACACCATTCTCGTTCTCCCACAGCAACTTTGGCTTTTCTTCCTCTTGTTTTNGAGAAAGTAATGAAGCTATGTTGATTTGTGTAGC